ACACACACACTCTCACTCTCTGTCTGTGTATATATATATATATATATATATATATATATATATATATATATATATATATATATATATATATATATAGGCGTATTGGGGTAATTAGGCAATCATTGTTTGAAAGTAGTTTGTTCTGTAGGCAATATAAGTTTTGGTAAAAAAAAATGCCCAGGAGGGCGTAATTTTGACTTTAAATGTATATATACACTCACCGGCCACTTTATTAGGTACACCTGCTCAACTGCTCGTTAATGCAAATGTCTAGTCAGCCGATCACAGGGCAGCAGCTCAATGCATTTGGGCATATAGACATGGTCAAGACGATCTGCAGCTGAAACCGAGCCTCAGAATGGGGAAGAAAGGGGATTTAAAAGTTTTTAAGTGAACGTGGCATGGTTGTTGGTGCCAGATGGGCTGGTCTGTGTATTTCAGAAACTGCTGATCTACTGGGATTTTCACGCACAACCATCTCTAGGGTTTACAGAGAATAAAAAGAGAAAATATCCTGTGAGCGGCAGTTCTGTGGGTGCAAATGCCTTGTTGATGCCTGAGGAGAATGGCCAGACTGGTTCCAGCTGATAGAAAGGCAACAGTAACTCAAATAAGCACTCGTTACAACCGAGGTCTGCAGAGGAGCATCCCTGAACGCACAACATGTCCAACCTTGAGGCGGATGGGCTACAGCAGCAGAAGAGCACACCGGGAGCCGCTCCTGTCAGCTAAGAACAGGAAACTGAGGCTACAATTCACACAGGCTCACCAAAACTGGACAATAGATTGGAGAAACGTTGCCTGTTCTGATGAGTCTCCATTTCTGCTGCCACATTCAGATGGCCAGGTCAACATTTGGCATTAACACCATGAAAGCATGAATCCATCATGCCTTGTATCAACAGTTCAGCTGGTGGTGGTGGTGTAATGGTGTGAGGGATTTTCTTGGCACACTTTGGGTCTATTACTACCAATTGAACATCGTGTCAACGCCACAGCCTACCTGAGTATTGTTGCTGACCATGTCCATCCCTTTATGAGCACAGTGTCTCCATCTTCTGATGGCTACTTCCAGCAGAATAACGCACCAGGTCATAAAGCACAAAACATCTCAGACTGGTTTCTTGAACATGACGATGAGTTCACTGTACTCAAATGGCCTCCACAGTCACCAGATCTCAATCCAATAGAGCACCTTTGGGATGTGGTGGAACGGGAGATTGGCATCATGCATATGCAGCCGACAAATCTGCAGCAAGTGCGTGATGCTATCATGTCAATATGAAGCAAAATCTCTGAGGAATATTTCCAGTACCTTGTTGAATCTCTGCCATGAAGGATTGAGGCAGTTCTGAAGGCAAAAGTGGGTCCAACCCGATACTACTAAGGTGTACCTAATAAAGTGGCCAGTGAGTGTGCAGAAAGTAGTCTAGTTATGGTATGTCCTCGACAAAAAAACAAAAACAAATCAAAACTGTGGCATATGAATATGCATGTCATTTTATCAGATAAATGATCTCTTGTGCTCCTCAGCGGCTGCGGCACAGTAAATAATTCAGATCCTCCCACATCACATAAATCTTCTCCGCCCCGGCCACTTTTACTATATTTGTTTTAATACGTTATCTAATAAAATTGAGCTGCAGATTTGCTAATGTTCCCACATTGCGATTTCTTTTAGACAAGATAAACTGCTCTGACGTGACAGACAGCGGCGTCAGATGAGCCAGAGAGGGCAAGTGGCTCTTCGTCTTGATTAATTCATCACAAAGTGTGAGTGAATATGTCATGTGTGTGTGTGAGACTGAGAGAGTCTTTTATAGAAACATGACAGATGGACAATTGAGGGAAGTTTAAATTACCCCCCTTAAATGCTGTCGGCATCTTGCTCCCATAATGCCATTGTCCACCAGCCGTCTCGTTCTTTAAAGTCACCGTGAAATCAAAATCGACTAGTCTTGTTTTCTGTGGAATATTGCAGGAGTTGATTAATTTCTGCTCATGACTGTTTTAATTCATGTGTCCTTGTTATCGAAATAATAACCAGTGGTGGAAAGAGTACTGAAAAATCATACTCAAGTAAAAGTACCATTACTTGCCCAAAATGTAGTGCATGCAGAGTAAAAGTATCTGTTGTGAATATTAAAGTAGGAGTAAAAAGTAACCCTTTTAAAAGTACTCGAGAGTAGTGAGTAGTGACGCTGTAAAAAGTCATTTTGCACTTACAAGCAGTTTGTGCAGGGATGTGTAAACGTAACATTCTGTAGTGCATTTAGTTATCTTCCTACATTCGTTTGTTCCTTCCAACCTTTTTTCCATTGTTTGTTTGTTCTGTCCTTCCTTTATTTGTTCATTCCTTCCTTCATTCATTTGGTCCTTGCTTCGTTCCTCCCTTCGCTCATTCATATTTTTGTTCCTCCCTTCATTAGGTCCTTTGTTCATTCGTTCATTCACTTCTTAGTATGTTCAGTTCTTCCTTGAATCCTTCCTTAATTAATTTGGTCCTTCGTTCGTTTGTTCATTTATATTTCTGTTCCTTTCGTCATTGGGTTCTTTGTTCTGTCCTTCCTTTATACATTTGTTCATTCCTTCATTCCTTTGGTCCTTCCTTCGTTCCTGACTTCATTTATTCGCTCATTCATGTTTTTGTTCCTCCCTTCATTAGGTCCTTTGTTCATTCGTTTCTTAGTATGTTCAGTTTTTCCTTGAATCCTTCCTTTATTCATTTGTTCATTCCTTCCTTCATTCCTTTGGTCCTTCCTTTGTTCCTCCTTTCATTTATTCGCTCATTCATATTTTTGTTCCTCCCTTCATTAGGTCCTTTGTTCATTCCTTTCGTTAGTATGTGCAGTTCTTCCTTGAATCCTTCCTTTATTCATTTGGTCGTTCGTTCGTTCATTTATATTTCGGTTCCTTTCTTCATTGGGTTCTTTGTTCTATCCTTCCTTTATTCATTTGTTCAATCCTTCCTTCATTCCTTTGGTCCTCCCTTCGTTCCTCCCTTCATTTGTTCGCTCATTCATTCATTCTTTCGTTCATAATTTTTGTCCCTACCCTCATTAAATCCTTTGTTCATTCATTCGTTTGTTCGTTCCTTCATTCCTTCCTTTCCTTTTGTTTGTTCAGTCCTTCCTTGAAACCTTCCTTCATTCATTTGTTCCATTCGGTCTTTCCTTCCATTTTTTCCTTCGTTCCATTTAGTGATTGTTTAAGGCTGTTTGGTGATTTCAGTCATCATACAGTCGACATCCTTTTTTTTTTTTTTTTATACAGTCGACATCTATTTTCTCATCAGTGACATCCAGTCTGTTAAGAGTCTGTGCGTCACTGTGTGTAAATATTTTGAACATCTTGGACATTTCTAATGCTTCCAAAATGTTTGCTGCATTTATAAAGCGCCCACGTGTTGATGTTGTGTAGTATCATGTGATTTACTTTCTATGTGCGATTCGATTGGACAGGAATCACAGGATGGATTTTTCTGCTTTAGCCAATCCTCATTGACAAGGAAGAGATAAAGTAGTGACTGGAGGTTGAAGGAAAGGAGTGGAGTAAAAGTACAGATACAGCACTAAAAGTGTACTTAAGGGAAAGTAAAAGTACTCATTTTTAAAACTACTCACTAAATTACAATTTCTAAGAAAAACTACTCAATTACAGTAACTTGAGTATTTGTAATTAGTTACTTTACACCACTGATAATAACAAAATGCCTCTTCATCAACATGTGCTTTCCGCCAACCTGATTTCACCAAGTTTGAGATGTTCCTGGATTAACATCTATGTTGATCCTGGAACAACAGTCCAATCAGCCAATGGTGGAGCTAATTCAAAACACTGCGTATTCAGATGCAGGGCTTGACATGAACTTTTTTAATCACCGGCCACTGTGGCTAGTAGTTTTCCAATGTTACTAGCCACTCTGCATTTTCACTAGCCATAATTTTGTTGTTGGGAAAATCTATTTTATATGCATAAATTTGACTTTGACATGCTAAAATTACTTGATTTAAATGTTGTGTTATGTCTCCATGCCTCCTCATTCATTTCACTTTTTGTTTGTCGAGTATGAGCTTGTTTAATGAGCATGAGCAAATGGGTTGTGGTTTCATAGTGTTATATTGTAGTTAGTTTTTATTTCACATGACTTTTCAGAGCTCAAAGATAAGGATTTACCAAATTTATCTCTATAACCACAATAAAACAATAATTATTTTAAGCCACAAATTTTAAATGTTAAAACAATCAAAATATAGCTATATACTATACTTTTTATTTAACAAAACATTTCTTTAAAAAGAAAGAAAAGCCATTGATTTTTAAAAAATATTTATTGTTACGTATCAAACAAATGCACAGTAATCTGTCCTGGCTAAGGATCTCTCGGATCA